TACAAAGGAAAGGAGTTTTCTGTTTAAAGAAAACTATACATTGCACAGTAGTTTTAATTACAAGGTCGATAAGATCTTACAAAGTGGAAAAAAAACATAAAACATCTTATAATAACGAGTCTCGAACCGTTCAAACTGATCTAAATAAAAAACATGTCATTTCTAAAACACGATAGTCAGTCTAATATCAGCTGTTGGATCATGATCTCACATATACACGTACACTAAAGATTAGGAATTAAAAATTAGAACGTTACGTAAATGTAATACGGTAGCAGATGCTTAATCCGAAACACCTTCATATAGAGTACGTTAATATTTTTAATATCTAAAATTAATATTTGTTCAGTGAACCAGCTATCAGTCTAACAAAAATAGACTATATTTCTCGATATACACTATGATAATCTAATTATACTCACTTTTGATATGATATTGTGCATATTTTTACATATGATAATAGTTCAAATGTTCGATCGATAATATTAATGATGTTCAAGTTTGGAAAATACAATGTTTAATCTTTTCTTTCCCGTTCTATAAATTTTAATAATATTTATTCTTTACCTGCTTGTTACACATTTTTTTTTTGTGGATTCTTTTGTCACTAATGTCAACCTACAGCAGAAAAAATAGAACGATGGTCGTTTCAAAAACACATCAGAGACAAAACTGTTTTGTTTTCCTCTTCCAAGATCGACAAAACAACATAAACTTCTACAATAGAACACTTGCTAGCTCGCAACACAATTAGCTCTGTTTAGCCTATCAGATAATGAATGAAAATATGTACAATCAAAGACCGATGTCTGTCGGTCATTACTTAATTCTATCTTTATAATTCTCTAAGATAGAAGTACAAAAAAAGAAATAAAAAACGCTTTACCTCACACAAAAAAGTAATTTGATATAAATTCTTGAATATGAAGGCACATAGATCATGCTGGAGATTTAGCTTTAACATATACTCAATAGAAAAGTAAACATCGAATATAAGTTTAGATTAGATTTCCACTGCATACGATGGATAATTCAATAGTACAGCATTTTAACGAAAGTCAAATTCAAGTTGTATTATCTGAACTATTTCTCATGTCATACTGGTATGGAAAAGAATGAAATATTACTTACATAATATTAGTTTTATTTAATGATATTTTGCTTTGTTAAAAGAAAACATTTTATCAAACTACTATTATCAGTTAGAATGAGTGAACAAAGTGTAGGTTAACACCATAGGATAATGAAAAATATATGGACATACTTGATGACAGAGTTGAATCAGTATGATGAATGAATGAATGAATGATAAGATAGGTATTAGTTGCTGATCAAATAAAAGAAAAAGTCTCAATTGAACATTTTTTCTTTTCTTTTTTCTAACATTAAATTATTTGTAGTGAGGATTAGCTTACATTTATTCACTTAATTACTTAATGTAAAAGCATTTACAGACACAAAATACAATCTTCTTTTTTTCTTTAAAAATTGTGTTATGTAGACATTATGTGACATTTACACTGTTCGTTGTTCTTATACCAATAGACATTGAAAAAAATATGTACCTTTTATTTTTTCTGTTATCTCTTTCTTTATCGAATATACGTAATCGTCCGTTACTGATTTCTTTGTAAAAAGAAGTTATTTTATTATTGGAAAGGTTGAAACTTCAAGGCCAGACAAATTTATTTCATACTTAACTATTTTAGAATTTCATAGTTAATTGTGCATACTGAATTCTATCTTGTTAAAATTCAATTTGAACAAAAAATAAGTAAAAGGAACTGAAAAGAAGGTTCTTTTTGTGATTATTGTGAGAATGTATTTAGCCTTTAAGAAATGCTACTACACTTAATCTCATCCCCTCTCGGTAACAATTGACAATAGCCTTCACTTGAACATCATCTGATCCAAAAAAGTGTCCTCTCTCCTTTCTTCTGGTGAAAAAGAAAAGAAAACGAACCCGCACAATTTATCGTTTCTCTTTGTTTTAAAACAGAATATAACAAAAAAAAACAGTTTAAAGAGACAATTAAAAAAAAGAAAGACAGAATAATGGAGAAAAATAGTGATTCTATTGATAAACGTGCATTTTGCTTTAGAATGATATCTTATCCATAGAGATGTAAATGTATGTTGTAGACAAAATTAGGATTTGTCCGAACAGAATTGGAATTCTAGTTTTGAGCAGAGTTTTATCGAACAGAATTGGACTTCAGATTCTATCCGGACGAAATCAAAATTCCAATTTTGATCAACTTCAAAAACCTAAGACTTTGGAAAAAATTAGAATTTTCCTGTATAAAAGAGAGATTACGGTTGATAAAGCGAAAAGGTTAATGCTCTCCATTAAAATCATGCTCTTAGTTTCTCCTGTTCAGTAACGAGTCATATCCACGCAAGTTTGACGTCATTGAAATGCAACAAGAAATGAACATTTCATGGAAATTTAGGAAAAAAAGCTATTTTGAAAAAAGTGAAATTTTTTAATAAAAAAAAAGTTCTATTTTCAAAATAACTTCTTTCCCTATATTTTCGTGAAAAAGGTTGAGTACAGAAATGATCATCGCGGAACGATGAACACTTTCTTCTCATGAATGAACATTTCCAAGTTTCGTTCATAATATTTCAAATATTCCCTCGGCCGAAAGTTAAATTTCTACGAACGACATATCCGTTTGTCCGCAGTACACTAATGATACCTTTAGCGACATCAGCTAGACAAAGGTCAGAGTTGAAATACAGAAACGATATATAGAACGGAAAAGAGAAATATAGAAATAGCTAGCGGAACACTCAGATGCCAGTAGCGGGTAGTACCCACTACCGGCTGTCGAAGTACCCACTGGGTACTTCGTAAGACCGTTTTTGATGGATTTGGTTTAGATCGTTTCCACTAACGGTGTGTTGAAAGGACGTGTTTGAAGTTACGGAGAGATTGATTTTTGTTTATGTTCGTTCAGAAAATGTATGCATCCTCGATATAAAAAACGAAAAGAAAAAATCGTACTGTTCTCAAAACAATGAAATATGAATAAATCATAATAAAACATGGAAGGTCCCGAAACGACGTCAGTTTGTGATTAATCACACGCTGTTCTACTAGCCGCGTTCTTCTACTTGTTTTCGTCCATCGCATTTATTATCTGTTGTTTCTCTTGTTACATTCTTCTAGGTCTAGTTAAAAGAGTTATTTATTCTATTCGTCGGACACCCAATAATAATGGGACTCTTGTTCTCTTCCTCTGAGACATTTTCTCTGCTTTCATGTGTGCTCAATACGATAAATTTGAAGAATAAATAAACTAACAGTTCGTGTTCATTCTCTAATTTAACCTAAACAGTTTTAATTTATACTGCTTACTCAAATGTTCATTCGTTCGTGTTTCCAAATGACGAGGCATTTTCAAGATATATGACCCCAGACATGAGCATTCTGCTCCGTAAATGAGATCAACCTTCAAATTTGATAAGATAGCGCCTTTAGTACTAAAACCTCGTCCTATGTTATCGAACAGTGTACGGCCTAATTGAATTTGTTTACTTGGGAATTATTTCCAAACTCCAGCTCGACCTCACGTTCTGTATCAGTAGCTTATGTTTCTGTAATACAGCAGTCTGAACAACATCTACTACAACATCTGCATTATTCAAATAAAGTCGTTCTTTGTCTTTCTCAATCTTCTTTGTCTCTTTCAATTCAAATATTGACGGACGCATCGAGGGAACAGGTCACTAGACTCAGCGACTAAATAACAAACATAACACTGGTAGACAATGCTACACGTACAGAGTGTCATGTCTGAATTATCATTATCCCGTCCTTCGATGTGTCGAGCTCGTGTTATTAGAAAATGTAAAGAACACAGAAAATTGGTGAAAAATAAAAAATAAATGGGTAACTGTTGGACAACATATCATGAGAATTATATCAGCCGAGTAAAACGAGATCATTTCTTATTTTAGTCACGATATTTCGACCTTAACTGGTCATTATCAAGTATAACATAAATTGTGAAAGATGTAACAATTTTCCTAAAAATTGTTACATCTTTCAGTTAAGAGGAAATCTATAAACGTTGCCACGAGGACCTGGCATTCTTGAAAAGCATGGCTTTTCATGGAATAGAAAGCGGTACAATAATTCTAAGACAAACAGTGCTGCAAAAAGCATTAAAAGAGACTCAATGCTCACTGGAAGAACATCCACACTTAGTAAATACAGGTATTCTAAAATAGTTGGACGATCAGCCAATTGGCAATCAAATCCAAGCAGAAAAAGCTCATTATTTTCTTCACCTCAGTTTTCAAGAACATTTTGCAGCCCGATACTTGGTTAATGCTCTCAACACCCCGACATCTCAAAAAGCAATCGACTTTATCAAACGTCACAAATATAATCAACGTCTCGCTCTTGTGCTTACTTTCGCATCCGGTATTTGCATTGAAAGTGATGCTGAGGCATGCATAGATACATTCTGGGACGCTATATTATCTGAACCATAGGATCTGGTTGGTTTCAGACACATACAACTAATTATTTCATGCATTGAGGAGACTAGTAGTACTTCAAGATTTCGACGACACACCATGTTGATCGATTCTATAACAAGGTGGATAATAACTACCGCGCCCATGAAGCCCGGCGTTATATGCAAACAGGTCCGAGCTACATCACGCAGGAGTACTTCATTAGTATACGAACCAGCAATACAAGACACACTCATACAACTCCTCGAAATCCACGATCCGAATACCAAAATTTATGTATTATCATTCATTTCACGACTACAAATTTCAAATCCGCCCGGTCCATTGATTAATTTACTACTCGTCCGACTCTGCGACGAGAATGAGGATGCCAGAATGACTGCATGTCAAGCGTTCCTGAATCTGGACGAAAAACTAGCAACCATGACGTGATCAACAGGCTGGTGACTGTTGCACTTCGGGATAGGCATGCTGCTGTCAGAAGGAGTGCATGTGAAGCTCTCGAGAAGATGGATGAAAAAGCAGCAAACAATGACGTGATCAACAGGCTGGTGACTGAACTTGGGGATGAGACTGATGTAGTTAGAAAGAGTGCATGTGCAGCTCTCGAGAAGATGGATGAAAAGGCAGCCACCGATGACGTGATCAACAAGCTGGTGACTGCACTTGGAGATGAAAATTATGATGTGAGGTGGAGTGCATATGCAGCCCTCAGGACGATGGGTGAAAAAGCAGCTACCAATGATGTGATCAACAGTTTGGTGACTGTTGCACTTGGGGATGAGAATAAGGATGTCAGCCTGGGTGCATGTAAAGCTCTCGAGAAGATGGGTGAAAAAGCAGCCACCAATGACGTGCTCAACAAGCTGGTGACTGCACTTGGGGATGAAAATAAGGAGGTCAGAGTGAGTGCATGTGAAGCTCTCAACAAGGGTGCAAAAGCAGCAGACAATGACGTGATCAACAGGCTGGTGACTGCTAATGACTGACCCAATCTGTCTGGATATTCTGACTAGCTCACTTTGTAGAGAATTCAAAGGGCTATCCAATGGTATGTTTGTGAAAAATATATAATTTTTATTACGGCAGAAAAATGGCTAAAGGTGTGTTTACCGCACTAAGATAGGTGAAAATCATGACATCGACCAAGTATTTCGACTATTGACCCATGTGGGTATATTTTCGAAAGACATATTTATAGCTCATTTTGAAGCCCGAAAAATTCTCTATCTTTTCATATATAAAACATTCCGATTCTGAGTAGATAAGTTCAAAAAATATTCCTTTAAAGTGCTAAGATAGGTGAAAATGATGATATCTTTCTAGTATTTCGACAATTTTCCTGTACGGGCAGATTTTTGAAAACCTCGTTTATAGCTTATTTTGAAGCCCAGAAAATTCTCTATGTTACTGTGTATGAGCTTTGCTCAAGGACTTTGAAATCGGAAGAAACATTTGCGGAAAAAAGTAAATGGCTTTTATTGAACAACTGGTGGCGAAAAATGAAAAGTAATTTCTGTTTGAAAGACACCAGAAAGAATTTTTGAACGTGGGAAGTGTTGGGAAGTGAAAAGAGAAGCATTTCCAATCATTCTCACTCAAAATCATATTGGGCCATTTTCTAGCAAAAACAGTTGCCCGTCCTTTGATATTTTAGTCTATTTCGATCGTAACTTGATAATTCGATATCTCAGTCCAGAAGAGTCATGCACCCAAATCCTTCTAGACTTTTTCACTACTCAGTAGGACCTATCGAATGGCAATAGTCCCGCGAAAAGCGATTTAGCACCTAAAGAGGTTTCCTCGTTAGGTATAACTGCAGCTGCCACCAGTTGATAGATGTCGTCAAGCTCTATCTGACACACTGGTTTTTAAAATTGACACAATCCGTGGAACGAATGGTTGATCGTTATAAGGACCCACACAGGCATTGCGTTCTCTGTTTGACCAGCCTTGAAACCTTGATGGTGATGGATCGATCTGAAACATGTACCAATCGATAGAAACAATCGACACTATTGCATACGAGATACAATGATCGACGTATTTAGAGGATGAGCTGGCTCTTGCCGTGTTCAATCACCTTCATCAGATCTCATGTTGATCCGATTAGCGCTTGAGACATGCATACGTTGATCATAACTGGTGACGACTGTGATTTCGTCGAAATGGGATGCTGATCGAATTTTTAAATTATCCACAATCAATACTACAGAATAGGACTGCATAAGAGAATAAGATTTTAATGTTATAGAAACAGAAAATCAATGACTGGTTCTATTGCAATTGATTTCTTTTATATCAGGACATAAAAGGGTAGTTAGCATTCTGGTGTACGTTGACAATATGTGAGAAATCTCTCATTGTGTCTTAAAGTTCGAATGTTGATCAAGCGCAGTTGAAGGAATTGGATGACTCTACTGTGATATATGCCAATCGGTTGTTGGTGGAGCATTCGTGTTTGGTTCTATTATTTTGAGAAACTACCTTGAGGATGAGTAAAGCAGCAACGACCCGTTTCGACCTTGCTCTTCAGATGGCACGAGATATATTTGAGATTCAAAGAAAATGAATCCAACTAAGACAATTTACACTGTTACAATCGAATTATAATGGTAGACTCTTGATCGGTGGTGAGTCAAGCAACCACGCCCGGTTTTGACCTTCCACAAGATCTCATCAGATGGCACGAAATTTGATTTGGTTTCAATTATTTGTAGGGTTGTTATTGTAGGTTAACTGATTTGTTGGTTCACAGATATTTTTATGATGGACAATTATAAAAATATCTGAACAATGGATGAAACATATCTAGAAAGACATTCATATTTGAATAGTTAGCTACATTGTATGATGATAAACAGTAAGCGGACGAACGCGTGTTTCTATTGTACGAAACTCACACAACGTGATAGGGTAAATGAGAAAAGCATTATCAATATTTGTGACGGTTTACCGGTAAATGAAAGAAAATCATCAATAGTTCTGATTAATGTTTTTAGTCGTAACATTTGTTCAAATTTTGTTGTGACGGTATTAATACTGGATGTTATCATTTCATTTGTCAATATTGGTGTTGCTTCTGACGTATCTACTGTTGTTTTCGTTGACATAAAAGTATCAATAAATTCATTAATAAATGCATGTATATCAAGAATCCGTAAACCATATCGACGATACCATTCTTGTGCTTTATCAGCTAATCGTTCAGCTGCAAAATCGCGTCGTTGTTGTGGATTCATATAAATAACCGCTAATACAGAATCAAGCCATGCAGCTGGATAATCACTTAGTAATCCTGAAAATTTTAAAACATGTTATTGTGGTTGATTACTTTTACTAATTCCTGTAGTTTTTATCAGTGAGTGTTGAGGCTGATCAGATAATATCGAATCATCATTTGCTAACTGACATGTAGATGATTGTTTCATTCGAGCTAAACTCTTATTAGTAGTAACATGTGGCGAATGCTCGATTGTTGAAATTAGCCGATGATTGTTGAATAACGTGTTTGTTCGATGTTGAATAATCCCCAGACATGTGTTGTTGAACAATGGATGACTTCTGTTGAACAACATTTGTATTATTTCCTTGTGTCATAACTGTTTCTTGGAATTGTTCAACAAATTGCTGCTCCAATTCATCACATGTCTTAAAATGTTGTTGATTTGTTCTAAATCATCTGGCTGCTTTATCACGTAGATATGATGCCAATTCTACGATCAAACGATCGTCATCATAACTAACCTTTTGTAACTGAATTATGACAATATCCAACCAGTCTTGTGCATCAGTAAAAAATATGTTGATGGTTGACCATAGAGATATTACGAACCCGAACCTACGTTCGAAGTTCGGCTTTGAATAGTTCGAGTTCGCAAAGTTCGGGTTCGAAAGTTCGCGTTCGACTTTAAATTAACCTTAACGCAGATTTTGTAGCAAGGTTGGCTAGACACGGCTCGTAGAACATGCATGGAACTTTTTTGATACTGCAAACCTTGAGCGGATATAATTTCTCACCTTCTGCCCCTAGTTTCGCGGTGCTTAATGAATTAGTATTGCCTCTAGGAATTAGTGTCTCACGCAGGCTGCAACCTGCAACAGTGAGCGTCTATCACATATAACAGTCTTATATCAAACATTTATTTCTCCCTCATAGAACAGACGTCCAGTTTAGACATGGTCGAGACCGTTCCGACGGGACTGGGACCGGAACCAAAAATGTCCTTTACCGGGACCGGAACTACAACTTTTTTTTCCGGGATAGAACCGGGACCAACACTAGAACTAAGATGTGTTTCGGCAGTTGCATAAAATTAGCTAAAACTTGATATGTTCTCTCTACTAAGACAGAAACGTTGTGGAAAATCGTCCGGACCTCTTACAATTCTATCTTAAGCATTGAACTTCACTTCTACGTCATGCAAACTTTATTAATAAAGTATTTTCTCCGGCACCATAAAAAGTTTTCGGGACCGCGACGAGACTGAAAAACCTTAGTGCGACCCATACTACACAAACATATCAGGACAAAAGAAATCTATGTTATTCATGCTTTTGTATGCAGCAAAAACTGTTTTTCGAGTAAAAGTGCGAAAGTGAAAGAAAAACATCAATATGTACAAAACTCGTATTTAGGAGAGTATATAATAATTGTCTACATATTTGATGTCGAACTCGAACTCGAACTTTTAAGAGGCGAACTCGAATGTCGAACTTTCCTCGAACCCGAACTTCGAACATCGAACGCTGGGGTTCGTAACATCCCTAGTTGATCACCAAACAATGGGATCTTGAATAATGTCTTTGGTTCACAAACAAGTGATAACAGAAGTTCTTGAGATACTTGTTGTTCGAAATCAATTTCAGCATTTTGTAATTCATGCATGTGATTTATCATTAATATCATTCGAATCTGATGACAAAACACGGCCATCTTTCTTACCTGTTACTGTTGTTCTCCAACATGTCCGAACATATGTTACAGCAGTCATTGCAAAGTCATTGTCATGTTCCTTGATCTTAGGACAAGATTGGATTCATATTACCGTGTTGATTGTAATTCATCCACCAATCAACTGCCTGTTAATAACAACATTGCTTCGGTTCCCATCGAACGTGTCGATGAAATAACATTCCCAGTAAGACCTGTACAGCAAATAGCTTTGGAACCAAAATCTGAGTACGTTGCCGAGGCACATGTATCAGTGTTATCATCATCTGCTGTTTTATTTCATCCAAATCAAAGAATTCACCAGATCACATCAATTATTATTCCACATTCGTTGTTGCAGGTTAATAAATATATTACAGAATTAACAATATATAATCCAAACATGTATTCATGTCGTTTATCTGCCAACACGAATGTTGACACAATTACATCATTATTATCTAGTGACACACTCTCGAATTTCATTAATGATGATACGACAACTTCGCTAACATGTGATAATAATTGTAGTTGTGAACAACATGTTAACCAATATGCATATTCAGATTCGGATTGTCTTGGTTCATACAGTGTTTAGGATAATTGACATAACAACGATATATATCATCGCTAAATGAGCCACAATAATCGCACTAGAATAAATGCATTAATATGATAACTGATAAAAATATAAATAATTCAACAACATATGTACCAACTGTGATTCAAGATGTTATTAAACATCTTAATAGCAAAGAACAACAGTAACAGTTAAAGGATGATCCATAAGTTTTGGACCCGTCCTGTAAATTAACATTATCTATACGAAATACATATAATAAGATTTAGCTGGTTTTTGCAAAAGTTTTCTCATTTAATTCTGTACAAAATGGTATATAGGAGATGATCCTGAGAGTTGAGATGACGTCGTAATTGAACCGAAATCGAAATGTCCCAAAAGTTTCAATGCCTCAAAAACGAAGAATGTATTTCGTCAGTATAAGCTTGAATGTATTGTTTGTACCCACATTGAACAGGCAAAAAATGTAGCTCTTG